CTTGACAGGTGACAGTTCGTGATGCTATAAATCAAGGGATGGATGAGGAGCTGGAAAGAGATGAGAAGGTTTTTCTGCTTGGAGAGGAAGTTGCCCAGTATGATGGGGCATACAAGGTAATCAAAATACACGAAAGTTATATTGAGGTGGCTGTTTGCTCCCAGATATGCTTAAAAGTAATCAGGTCAACTCTAACAATAGGTTAGTCGAGGCCTGTGGAAGAAATATGGAGACAAGAGGATCATAGACACTCCCATATCTGAGGTAAGCCCTCCACCAAGAAACCTGTCTGAGGGGCATGTTGGGTAAAGTGTACACTACATCTTTAGGGATTTTCGCTCATTTTGTGCTTTGCTTTATAGATGGGCTTTGCTGGAATCGCAGTAGGCGCAGCTATGGTATGTACTATTGTCTGTGAAGCGCATTCCGAGAGATTTCCTTTTTAAAAACGTTGTTTGAGTGTTGGAGGAACGGAGTGGTTGTCACTCTTCAGTACTGTTTCTATTTTTAACGTCCGTATTTTTGACTTGACAGGCTGGGTTGCGACCCATTTGTGAATTTATGACCTTCAATTTCTCTATGCAAGCCATTGATCAGGTTATAAACTCAGCTGCCAAGACCTACTACATGTCCGGGGGCTGTCAGTCTGTGCCCATAGTCTTCAGGGGGCCCAATGGTGCTTCAGCGGGCGTGGCTGCTCAGCACTCACAGTGCTTTGCTGCCTGGTACGGGCACTGCCCAGGCTTAAAGGTGGTCAGCCCCTGGAACTCAGAGGATGCAAAAGGACTTATCAAATCAGCCATTCGGGATAACAATCCAGGTCAGCAGAGTGACCCTTGGGTCTTTTTTAAACATTAAAGAACTAAAATGAAGTCTTTGCATAAAAGGGACCATTAAAGGCTTCCTGATGGCACAGTGGTTAAAGTGCTTGGCTGCTAACTGAAAGGTCGGCAGTTTGAACCTACCAGCCGCACCTCGGGTAAAGATGTGGCAGTCTGCGTCTGCAAAGATTTACAGCCTTGGAAACCCTATGGGACAGTTCTACTCTGTCCTATAGGGTCGCTATGAGTCGGAATTGACTCGATAGCGATGGGTTAGGTTTAGCTTTAATGGGGCTTAGACGGCTCATATAAAATGTTAGTGATTTATAGACACAGTAAAGATAGTAAAGAACGTGATTATTCTTACTTCTGATTGTAATCAGCTCAACGGCAACAGGGTTTTTCTTTTTTTGTTAATCAGGAACTTTTTGTTAAGGAACTTTTCACAAAATGAATGATGTTGCTGTATATACCTTTTTAGTCATTCTGATATAATTTGAGTATTTACTTTTGTTTAAATGTTTATTTTGTAGTGGTGGTGCTAGAGAATGAATTGATGTATGGAGTTCCTTTCGAATTCCCTGAAGCAGCTCAGTCAAAAGATTTTCTGATTCCTATTGGAAAAGCCAAAATAGAAAGGCAAGGTAAGAGAACTTAGTATACATTTAAAGACGACTTTTAATCCAGCCCCTCTATTTATATTGGTCAAATCCAATTTAGAAGTTATTGCCCTTTACGTTGAATAAAAAAAACTGTAGACAGCTCAAGTCAAAAACGTGTGGTGCCCTGATTTCTCATGCAGTTGTCCTTTTCTAAATTTCAGTCCCATAGATCTGCATTTTGTTTCCAGGAAGGCTGCCACATTCCTTATGTCACTGGAATGAAGTTGAGTTGAAGACTTTACAGATGAGCAAGAGCCACGGCTGGCTGCACGGTGGTACAGCATCTTTACTTTCAATCTGACCTCTGACCACTTTGTTTCAGGGACGCATGTGACCGTGGTTGCCCATTCGAGACCTGTCGGCCACTGCTTAGAAGCCGCAGCAGTGCTATCTAAAGAGGGAATTGAATGTGAGGTGAGTAGACATGAGAGAGGCTCCTTTTACATTTAAGACTCAGAATTAGGAGTTGGTTCTGTAAGAGGTTAACTAGATGTAACCAGTCTTGCTTTGTCACTCAGTTTTGCCACTGCTTGAAGCTGGGCGCCTGCGTGCTTTTCTAATGCTTAATCTTAGCTTTTTAACCACCTGGGTTCTGGACTTTTTAGAATTGTACCTACTTTGTCAAGTTAAGATCAACCTCAGATCTGGAGATTAGGAGAGAGAGGAAACTGAGAAGTCAGGGGCCCTGACTCTTTCATATCCAAGACCTGCCACTTACTAGTTACACTTGGGCAAGTTATGTGCTGTAGTTCTCAGCTTCATCAGCTGTAAAATAGAGGTAATAGAAATACTGTCCCATCATAGGGTGGTTGTGAGAATCACACTCAGCCTAGTGCCTGGTACATGGTATGCACTCAGATGTTAGTTATATTTATTTTGATGAGAGGGAAGTTAAGGCCAAGGAAGGCTAAGTGGATTCTGCAAGTTAACAGAGCCGCTTGTACTTGAGATTAGAGTTCTTTTTAAATTATAGTTTTTCCTTTTACATTTGTATGTGAATAGAATTAGATTGTCCTAGCCCAAAGATGGAGAAGGAACAAAAAAGGAAATGGTATGATGGGGACAAGGCTCTGTTTGTGACACAGTGGCTGTATAAAGCTTATTTATTGTATTACCTGCTTAGGTGATAAATATGCGTACCATCAGACCAATGGATATTGAAACCATAGAAGCCAGCGTCATCAAGACTAATCACCTTGTGACTGTAGAAGGAGGCTGGCCACAGTTTGGAATAGGAGCTGAAATTTGTGCCAGGATCATGGAAGGTACTTCAGAGAAACTGGTTCTTGGGTATAGTTAAGCTGTAATAAATATTGTGCACCTGCATAGTGAATAAAAAACTTCAAAGCTAGCAGTGGCCAAATGACTTGAACTTCCAGCTTGTCAGTTTGGTATTTATCCTTTGGATGAATGTTAAAAAGCAAAACAAGAAGCAATTCCTAGTAATTAAAGTTCCTGTACCTTATGTTTTCTTATTTTCAGCCAGCCACTCCTATGGTGCCAAGGTGCTGATGCTCAGCTGAGCCTCTTTCCTTGCCTCCCTCGCAGTTGAGCCTTTCTTCTCTCTTAGGTCCTGCATTCAATTACCTGGATGCTCCTGCAGTTCGTGTCACCGGTGCTGATGTCCCTATGCCTTATGCAAAGATTCTAGAAGACAACTCTATACCTCAGGTCAAAGACATCATATTTGCAATAAAGAAAACATTAAACATCTAGTTTGGGCTTAAATTTTAAGTCATTGGAATTTATTTAAAATACTTGCCAATACTTTACCTGGATTGTACTGTAAGACCTTATTCATAAAACAATCTCTAAAGCAACAGCACATGTTTTTGTACTGGGAAGAAGTTTAAATGTGCTTGTGTATGGAAAAACTCTCCATGCTTTTTTTTTTTTTTTTTGGTGTTATATTGCCACGTTCTTTGAATAAGACCAATGTGAAATGTTACTGTTTCACTAGAAGTACAAGGTACGAATGTGGCCTGATGAGAGATATATTTTAAAAAGATAACTTACATGTATAAAATAAAAGTGTACAATCTACATTTACTGTTAGGTTGTTTTGATAAGGAATAAAGTAATTCCTGACTATGACTAATTGTATTTTTGTATTCTTGAAATTAGGTGGAAATCTTAAAATTCTATTAGTACCAAATGGAAAATAAGCGGATACTGTACAAAATTATTGCTTCTTTTTACTCAACTGTCTGTCTGAAGCTTTATCCAAAATAGCAAAACAAACTTTAGAAGGACTCAAGCCTCACAGCACCCATCAGGAACTAGTCACCTAGACACCATGGCACTCGAAATGGGACCTCGTCCATAGACTCTTCGAATGCCTAATTCTAATCTGGTTGTCTTTCAAATTACAGCAAAATTCATGTCAGGTATTGCTCCCATTGCCAAAAACCAGACATTGGCCATACACTGCCCTCCTCAGAAGCTGAGATGGAAAAGCTGGTTTAAATTAGTTTTAGAATCATAGAGGTGGTGCCGAATTTAAATAGCAACACAGGATTGTTGGCTCTGATTCATTAAGAGGGAAAATACAGCACTAAAGAAAATACGATAAGTGGGAAGGAAACTTTAGAAAGACTGTGGATCTATTCTTTGTGCTTATAAAAGGAGCTACAAAAAGTTCTCATTACAACACATTTTCTTGACATGGTTTATTTTAATAAAAAATACAGCTGAACATACATCACAGATTACATGAAACTATACACAATGACATTCTCTCTGCATAGTAACCAACACTGATGTGTGTACTTGAATTTTAAAATGGATTATTTATAATCCTTTAAAGTGCAATTTATTTAAGAGTTTAAGCAAATCATAGGATAAAGAATCTTTCTAATAAATGAGTAACATTAAAAAGATGATGTATTCAGATAATCTTTCAAAAATCAGGATTGATTCTACAGATGCCACATTTACTTGTGTTGTAATAATGATCCCCCACAAACCCCAAATGACTTCATTGCTGAGGATAAAGAAGATCCTCTAATTGCCAAGAGCTTTTTCTGATGTCAAATATTTTGTCTGTTTCAATACACTAACTAAAAGAACTATGGGTCTAGAATAGTTGCTACAGCAGCCCTGAGTTCTATAGCCACGATTGTGTTCCTGTTAGAATGCTACGAGCTTTCCCCAGTCTATCTGGGGGGAAGATGACCTCAGCAACATGACTATGTTATGGGCTACAGTGTTAACGTCTAAGATGAAATCAAATAGCAAAGAATGGGAGTTACCTAAGAAATACCCAGAAGATGCTTCAGAATAGAGAAATGAGCTATGAGAGGAACGTTCCTAGGAGCTGTCTGATGGGGCAGGAGGAACTGCAACACAACGGCCCTTCACTGCTGTGACCGAATGTTGTCATTGGTTTTCTTTTTTGTTCATTTCCCTCAGTTGGTGGAACTACTCATTCCAATATGCTGCTGCCTCAAAAGATCCATCAGAGAAGGAACAAGGCGCCTTTAAAATGTAATAAAGGAGTAAACAGTTACCTCAAGGCAGTAGTGCCAGCCCAACTTCCTTCTACCTGAAGAATATTTCTCTCTTGAAAAGCCTCTTACATGAGTATCTGCAAAACAGTATGTGGTGTACTGGCTCCGCAATGATCAGGAAGAAGGGGCTGGGAGGGGACAAAGAGCTTTTCCCTCCACGTGTAAACAGGAAGCTTCAGCCGATTTTAGGAGCACTGTGATCACAGGTTTCGGCTTTCCTCAAAGTTCCTTTTTGGAAATTCTGGATGGAGCTGAGCAAGGCCCCTCTGCTCACACCATTCACAGCCTGGGGAGGGAGCTGTGCCGGTGCCTCTGTGCTCGCCGGAGGCAAGGGAGCTGCTGGTGGTGGAGGTGGAGGAGGTGGAGGCAACGCTGATGTCCCTGCCGAGGCAAAAGGGGCAGTCAGTGCCCACGTCTCCAACACGTCCTGCCCGTGCCATTGCTCAGGCCTGGGCAGGACGGACTCTGGTGAGAATGCACATGTTTTCCCTCAGGGGGACCAAGATATCCACTATCCTGTGCTTTTTAAAAGACACTGAACTCGAAAGCTAGAAGCATCAAAAGAGAATCAAATGTGGCCATCTCCCCCAAATAATGGTCATGTGAGAAAAGACTGTCTTAACATATATTACAGACTACATGGAACTAAACCCGATGATAACTCTCTCTGCACAGATGAGGCTCAACTCCATTTCCACATTTCAGTCATGGTCTCAAAAGGAGTTCATCAGCTGCTTATCCAGGTCCCGGGCAGCTCCCCCTGCTCCTAACTAGCAATGAAAGATAGACATCTGTACGCATGGGGTTGGGCTACCTGAATACCGATTTCTAATAAGGGATGAACAGATCTTTAGCTGTTCCGACACGCACAATATCTGAAAGATGTGATTTAATACAAAGTGACAAACCACTCAGGATTCTCGACAAGGAGCCAGTGCCTGCTGGGTTACGTGTCCCACAGGGAGCTGTCTCCAATACTTACTTCCTATTAGGCTGCATTAAACACACGCAAAATGCTAATAATTGTTAGCAATGCAGAGCACTGGAATAGAATTCTCGGGGATGAGCCTTTTTCAAGCACTGTTCTTCCCACTGGCCCACCAGAGGAACAGGATGGAAGTGAATTAAATGTGTTATCACTGCTGAAGCATCAGGAGAGACTGGGAGGCTGAGCTCTACCTCAGTGGGACAGGAGAGGGAAATGGGGCAGGTATCTGAAACCTCCCTCGGCTTCCAGACACCCCCACACCTGGAACTCCAATTTTATCGTTCTGAACCAGTGAATGGATGTCCTCTCAGGACAGCAGCCACTGAGTACGGAAAGGCCCCGTCCTGAAGACCTGGCCTGTGCCGCGGCGTCAGTGCCCGTCTGCTGTGCGCCCGGCGGCTCTCCGTGACCCTGCCATCTGCTGCCGTCTCCCTCCTCCACCCACCCCGAGGGTCACACCGCGGACACTTCCTGCTAGGTGGTCTTCCCCAAAACTGTTACTGAGCTGTGGTGGTAACAGGTGAAGATCCCAGTCACCGCCTGAGTTCATGTGGATGAGGAGTTCAGGATCACCAGTGAACTACTCAAGTGGCCCCTTTTTACCAAGTGTGACAGGAAGCAGTGGAAGGCTTACAATTCCCAGAAAACCACTTACCTTCCTTTACATCTTTTAGCCAAACCTAAGGCAGCTGAGATTTAAAGATCACACAAATACACATACTCATGCTCTGCAGTCTTACAATTCTCATATGATGACGATGTGTCAACACAAAGAGTAAATACAGACAGATGCACAGCACGCCATCTTCCCTGGCTCTCTCCACAGTAACAAAGAACTAATGAGTGAAGTCCTGTTACGTTCTATCCTAGGGTGCATGTGGAAGAATGTTCCTGACTTTCTGTCACAAGGGTACAAAGAAAAAAAGCAAAAAAGGACTTTAAATCTGAAATGACTGCTGAGGTGAGAAAACCAGGAGAATGAGTGTGTGACGAGCATTCCTCTGAAGGGCACTTTCCTATAGTGACCAGTGAATACCAGGAGGAGGGGAGACTGCTGCTGAGGGTTCCTGAAACTCAGATCTTGACTGGGCACCAGGAGTGAGTGCTGCCCATTGGGGGCGAGTGGGCACCATGCAGTCCTCCTTCCAGGCCCTCCCACCCAGTGGCCAGAAGGGGCCAGCAGAGTCACCGCAGGGTTAAGGACAGAAGACAGGCTCTGGGCACCAACAGCAGTTAGGGGTTCTACTGAAGGCAGGAAACTGGCCATCAGGAGACCAGCCACCCCTCCAGCCCAGAATTCCAGGAAGTTAGAGATGAGCCTTCAGGGCCTTGGCACAAAACCCAACTGCTTGGCCCTCGGGGGACCCAGCCCTGAACTTTGGCCTCATCAGCAGGCACTGGAAATTAAAAGCACAAATTCACTACCACAGAGTTTGGGAGCTTTGGGGTGGGATTCAGTAAATGGATCTTCATTTTCCAGGTAAAGGCTGAAATTGTTGCCACTTTAAACGAGTCTCTTTGAAAATATAGGTGCCGTAAATAAATACACTGTCCAAAGTGTTACATGGTAACCTGTGCCTGCAAAGCAAATGAGATGCTAAGGATCTCTTCCTGAGGGCTGCTCTCGAAAGGAGAGGCTGCTCGTTCAAAGGGTAAGGAGCCAGATCACCCAGATGTCCGCTCCCAGAGGGCCTGTCATCCCGTTAGGTTTTCTTACTGGCCTGGGACAACCAACATGGATCTGGATGTGTACCGTTCAACCAGGGCAAGGAAGGCCAGAGCTTAACTCACCAGCTCAGAACGTTCTGGAAAGGCAGTGCAGGTCCAGGGTCAGAACATCAAAAGTGGACGAAGCAGGGACAGAGACCCGGGGACTCACAGTCCCCGTCCACAGGCCCCATCCCATTGCTCTTCTCCGGTGTTTGCTTTCTGCCTTGCCCACGGTCTGCAGTGCCCTCTAAAGGTTACGACACGTAGGTAACAATGAGGGCTAACAAGGGCCAAATTCAGAGTTAGCTCTTGGCCTGTGACCAACCTGGGAACAAGTGCTTAAAGCCGGAGCTCCCACTCCCTCAAACGTGACTGAGCGTTCTCCCCACTCTGCTCCAGCCCCAAGGCGCCTCTGTGTCCCTTATCCCCAAGCCACAGCCAAGACCTGACAGATTCCACCTTAGATCAATTACTGAGTTCACACAGCTTTCAAAAATATCGGCCTGCAATAATAGATGGGGAGGTTCTGCTTATGTAGAATTATAAACAGCAGCTCAGCGCACTGGACGGGCAAGGAGGAAATACAGGAATGTGAATGTGTGATGTGCAGCCACTGCCAGGGTGACCGGCGTGACAGTGCCAGATGTCCCTCCACACCCAGGGGCTGCCCTGGGGACTCAGCTCTCCACGTATCAATCCCATGCAGGCCTTTCAGGTGGCAAAAAGTGTGACACTTGAATACAAACCAGGCAGAGGGCTGCAAGGGCCGCAAGCGTTGTTTCCGCCAAGCACCTAGGATTCACCACTGTGCCCTTGTCCCAGTTAGGTCAGTCCTGAACTCTCCAATCTCCCCTTCTCTTGGGCAATAACCTTGAGACCCAACTACTCCATCCCCCACAAGATCCCTCCACCAGACCGGAGGGGAACATGGCAGTCCCGCTGAGGCCCTGGCCAGAGGGCACAGGCAGCTGCAGCAGGGGAGGAACACCTTGCCAGAAACATCCTGGAGAGCCTCGTGGAAAGGACACCTGGGGGCCCACTTACCTTGGGGACAATTCTAGCAGTGGGCAGTCTAGCGGTCTGTGTAGGTCTGAGTTCCTGTGAGGTCCACACATACAGGTGGGGAGACCAAATGGCCACCAAACAACACAGCCCTAGCATCTACCGTCAGGAGAGAATGGAGAGCATGACCCGGAAGCAGGCAGCAGCAGCTCTTGGGAGAATTAAGTATGCTTAAAGAGAAGACCTGTCTGTCCTTCCTGTTAGTTAGAAAGGCTAGGACGCAGTCCTTCCTGTTAGTTAGAAAGGCTAGGACGCGGTCCGTCCCATTAGTTAGAAAGGTCAGGACGCTGTCCGCACTGTCAGTTGGAAAGTCTAGGATGCTGTCTCCCTGTAACCAGGAACTCAAGTGCCTAACTCCTTTTTCCCCTTATTGGAGTAACTAGGAAGCAAGATTTTAGCAGCAACAAGACTTTGAGAGGCATGGTTTCCAAAATCAAAATATGCCCAAATGCCATGCAGTAGATTTGCAGGGTTTAGACTCCTTTTAAAGCTGTATTTTAAAATTAAAACGAGGGGGAAAAATGAAGGTTTTGAAGGTCATGATGAAAATGAAATGAATATAAATGAAGTCACCGGGGGTGCTTTTTAAAGATGCTGTATTTCATTTAAATGTTCCGTTAAGGCGATAGTCTCCAATCTGCCTTCCCACTTGCCCATCACTTCAGTGATCTAGACACACTGGGTCCCACTTCACATACAGAAACAGAGCATCTTTAAAGTTAGAGAAATCAGCATAGCTTACTTTACCGAAACTCACGTTCAAAATGGTGCATGCTCTACTGAAGACCGCAAAGAGAAAGAGAGAGAGAGGAGGGACACAGTCATTATTCAGATTTTGGTATCATTTGATCAAACCATAAGAGACAGTAAAATATCTGCCTGAGTCACATGCTGATTATTCTCTCTGCAAAGCTAGGAGGTACTTAAATCAGTGCACTGGTTTGTAAACACAATTGTGACCCTTCTAGAACATGGCAAAAGTACTAATAGAGTAACCAACAAATTGCTTTCCTCTTCACATTCTTCTTTCTGAGCCAGTTAGGTGCTGTTTTTATTTATTTACAAGCACAACACTTACTTCAGAAGCATCCTGAAGGTTCTACCTCCCCTGAAAAGCGGAATGGGTGTGGCAAGTATGTTTAGTTCTGTTAATAAGCAAGGACGGCTTATCAAGAGGGCAGAAAAATTAAAACTCACTTCCTTCCATGTAAGTTTTCCATAGTCTAGGACGAGGACTTGTCTTTTTAAGGTTGGGAGGAGCGTGAGCAAAGGACAGGTCTGAGGAGGGCTCCTGGGCAGGTAGGCGGCCACCAAGGAAGAAGCAGGCCTCCCCAAAGCCTGCGGTCTAGAGGCTGAATCAGGCAGTGAGCGGTCTAGAGGAACCAGCATTAGCTTACTTAAGGCTATAACCATTAAAAAAAGAAAAAAGCAAGGCAAACATCTGTCTTGTCTTCCTTTTTAACTGACTAGATTCCAGGTTAAATGTGAAGGATAAAAGCTTTTCCTGACAGTAAATCTCAGAGTTCCTAAAGAACCACCTCTGCCCCATTGTCCAGAGGAAAATTCCTTCCCTTGGGGTGGGGCCAGGAGGGCCTCTGTGGGGGGGGGTTGGGGGGCAGAC